ACCGGTACGAGCACCATCGATTGCGAACAATGTTCTCAGCTGAGGCAAAGCATCAGTGCTTTCATAGAAGGCAGAGTGGGATGAAGGAGAGGTGGAAAAAACGAAGAGGGGGGCGAGAACTCGTGCATGTGCCTCGGCGATTCTCTGACGTGACGGCTCCTGCTCGCGTGCAGCTGCCGTGCACTAACAATCCATCAGAAATACAGCCAACTGTTAAAAAATATGGGTAATTAACTCTTATCAAAACAGTCGCATCTTTGTAGTAAAATTGTGAAGTTTTGTCAGCTTTCTCTAATTTTTGTTGAATATCCCTTTAAGGAGTGTTCATTGGTCCATGTCCACATTCGAGAGTTTGCATGACAGATGGATACTGCTTGGCAAAATCCTTACAAATTTGACAATTAAGTAGTTAATTAGGAATGCTACCTATGACCAGTATAATGTAGTGCAAGTTTTATGCAGTTGACTAAGATAGCATAAATATTGGTTTATTGAACTATTGAGCATTTCTGGCAATGCATTCAGACCTCTCGCTCTGACAGTATTGAAATAAATGAAAATGTTTATAATGACTAAGCTATCATAGATGATGGAGACAAGGCGAACTGCCTTAATGCCTATTTTAAATCCGTCTTTTTGCCAATACAGGAGTTTTCCTACTTGCCCAATGCCAGCAGCATATCTCCAATGATCCGAACTGAGCTTACAGTAAGCGGTATCGAAAAAGTAAACAGGTAAAACATAAGCTTTTGGCCCAGATGCAATTTCTCTGCTTATTTTGAGATGTTGTGCTGACCCATCTCACTTTACCTGTACATAATTTAAAACAATCCTTGGTAACAGGCCTACTACCGGTTGATTGGAAAACAGCTCATGTTCTTCTAAATCCAAAGAGGAAGTCGAAAGAAGATTAAGAGAACCTTGATAGTGTGCAAGGCAATGGAACGCATTTTGTACTTTGCAAAAATGAAACACCTGATTAAGAACGATATCTTAACGAATGTTCAACATGGGTTCGGGAATAGGTTCTCATGCACCACACAACTGGTTGAGTTTCATCATGATCTGGTATTCGATATTGATTCAGGGCGACAAATTGACTGTATCTTCTTACATTTCCATAAAGCATTTCACACGGTAACACATCCGCTTTTTTGCAATAAATTTAATTTACTAAACATAGATTCCACTGTTCTTAGATGGATAGAAAATTATTTCTGCCAACGCCGACTATGCGTCATTTCATACGGCAAAAGCCCTGAGCACCTGTTGACATAACATCGGTATAGTGTTGACATGACATTTTTAGTTCATATAAATGATATTTTAGCAGCTACCATATTTTTGCACGTATAACCCGCCCCTGCATATAATCCGCACCCCCACTTTCAGCTCACCGAGAAAGAAAACAAAAAAATCCTCGCGTATTGCCGGCACATTTGATATACAGAAAAGGCTGTACAAAAGCTACTGCTCAAGCAACATAGCACATATGTAGACAGAAAAAGCTTCATTTAGCAAGCAGAATACGCTGTCTGCAAGGCCAGTCACAATTCACTCACTGTCGCTGCTCTCGCTAGAGCTATCACTTGAGCCGCAGTCCTCACTATTATGCACAAGGTCATCTTCGGTTCCATCCATGTTGTTTGTGATGCAACATTTCTTGAAACTTTTTCGCACCATCTCACCTGGAATAGCCTTGCATGCCTCGACAATCTACTTGCAGAATAGGGCAATATCAGGCCTTCGGACTCGTCCTGTTGGCGTCAAGTCGTAGCAGCCTTCGGCCATCCACTCTGCGTAATAGCGCTTGACATGCTCTTTCAAGGGCTTGTTAAGTGACACATCTAGAGGCTGCAACATTGACGTCATTCCACCGGGTAAAACAACTAAGTCGATGCCGTTGCGTGAAAGGCGGTCCTTCACTTCCTCTGTTGTGTGGCCGCCGAACGAGTCAAGAATGAGCATGGACCTCTTTGCGAGCATCGCACCGGGCCTCTTCTGCCATACCGTCTTGATCTAGTCTACGAACAAGTCACTGTTCATCCACGCATTCTCGTGTGCGCGCACCACCACACCGGCAGGCAAATGAACCTTTGATAGAGTTTTCCTTTTCAAGATGACGTACAGTCGCAGTTGTGTGTCGTCGGCGAGGGCACAAAGCAAGACTGTGATGTGCAGTTTCGTGTTCCCACCGGTCAGCATGCTCACCGAACTGCTGCCCGTCTTCTCAATCGTTGTGTCCAACGGCATTTCAAAATAAACAGGAGTTTCATCCGCATGGCCGATTTGCGAGAAAATGTGATTGTGCTGCTTTCGCAGAACAATTACACATCTCTGGTACTTGAGCAGCTTCTCCTCATAAGAAGCCGGCAAGCGTTGACATATTGTAGTCCCCCGTCTGATTGAGAGCCCTTGCCCCTTCATAAAGCGGTGCAGCCATCCGCGGCTCGCAAGGAACTCGTGAAGTAGGCCTAGCTCCCTCGAAAGTCGCCGCGCTTCCACTTGGGCCATCACGGTTGATACGGCGTGACCCCTGCTTCTCACATCTTCGATGAACTTTACTAGCTCCGCCTCCAGCTAGGGGTAGGCACCGGTCTTGGGGCCACGAAATGACCTACGGTCGCGGTGCCCGGCTTGTAGGCTCTCTTTCTTCTTTCTCCACAGTCGCACGCAGGACTCGTCCACATCGTGCCGTCTTCCCGCTTCGCGATTTCCGAATTCTTCGGCGACGGGGATGATCTTAAGCTTTTGCTGTGCCGTGAAGGCCTGCCCCCGTACGCTACTCATGGTGACAGAACAGATTGACTTAGGCTTGGCGAACGGGTCGAGATGTGGAGAACTAGCAGTATTAGTGAGATAAAGAGTGCTCACACTCGGCGACAACTTGACAGCACTACCCCTTCTAGTACACTGTAACAGCACCCTGGAAACAACAGAACCGAAATGCATGCCTGCTACCGCGTCAAAATGTAGTACATTAATTTACTGATAATATCTCTATAGGCACTATAATATCTCATTTGCCTTGCTGAAATAAATACTTCTTTATTTATTATGGAACTTACTTTAGTTATTATGAAACTTTCTTAGACAGCACCACCTTTTCGGCAAGCCCTTTCCAAAAGTAAACGTGGCGTCCGTGACGTAGGGACATGTGGAGGGTCACTGAGCGGCCGTGAACGTCCAAAAAATATACTTGTGGTGTGACAGTGAGATTTTACACTGAACAACCAAATTGTCTCTTCCCAAATGTTTTTCTAAACGCTTAAATTATGCAAGCAAGCAAAACCAAAATCGGCCGCAAGCTGCCGTGCTACTTGCGGAGCAACACGAATTTGCGGAAACCGCCTCCGTAGCCTTCGCTACACTGTTAAGGGGCTTCACAGCACAACACGCATTGCTGTGAAGCAGCACTATAGAAAAAACCCCGCGTATTATCTGCACCTCCACTTTGCCACTGAACTTTTTTGGTTTTTGGTGCAGGTTATACGCGCGAAAATACCGTTTTTTGTGACACATTAGATTGTTTGAAGACGAGTGTGCTCTGTATAGACAAGTAAAGATCGAGTGACAGTGATTTTACCCAACTGCGAACTGACTAGGAACGTGTTCATAATTGGAAAATAAAACTAAATAATAAAGAGGGTGTCCACCTTTCTTTTACAAGAAATAGGAAACCAATTGAGATGGAGTATATTTTAAACAACGATAACATAAAAAGAGCAGTCAGCTATAAATATTTAGGTGTACTCTTTTCATCTGACTGCTCATGGAATGCACATGTGCACGATATGGTTTGGAAAGCTGGAAGGGTGCTTTGCTTTATTCCACACAACTTAAAAACTATGAAAACTGAACATGAAAAAGAGAGCCTGTTTAACATTTGTTCGACCTATACTAGACTATGCTTGTGCCGTATGAGATTCTTTGCAGGTGACTATAATTGATGAAATTGAGAAAATTAAAAAACTAGCGGCCAGGTTTGTCTTGGGACAGTAAAAGAGAGGGCAGAGCTGCACTGAAATTGAAAATGAGCTTGGGTGGGAACTGCTTTCTCCGCGTTGGCAAAGCAAAGACTGTGACTGAAGTTATTTTTTCAGATATATACTAATAATAAAATAGGAATAAACAAAGAAAAAACTATGAACCATCTCCCTGAAGAGAACCCTAATGAAATGCGAAGCAGCAGCGGTGCGCATGGCGTTGACCCAATTGAAACGGGCGTAGAAGTGGGTGCTGGAAGAATGATTTGAATGGAAACTCGATGTAGTGTTTACTGGAGTAAACGTTAGTTTGAAACGCGAAGACACGGGAGGAGAGACATGTTGAAGATGCTCGCGCTTGGCTTTTTCGGCTTGCATCTCGTCGGTGGAACCCGTGCGTCGTCTCAATACTCGAACGCGATCGGCGTTCTTGACTTGCACCTCGTCGGAGTTCCAGGCATGATGTCATCATTCACGAATGCGATCGACTTTGATAACTCGCAACGCCGACAACGGCCGGGAAAGGTGCGCGCACGCTAGCTAGAAACATGTCCCAACTGCGTCTCGCCCGGCGCATGATCACGCTGTCCACATTGCCAGTGCCACGGGATCACGGCCATGGCCTACTTGGCACCCCCCCAGTGCAGAGGAACTGGGTTAGACAGGATAGTCAAAGAGCTGCTTTACATCTAAAATACCTTAAGGAACCTAATTTCGATACATCTAGAACTTAGCATGTTTTCAAAATAAGAGAATTGCGTACTAAGATGAACCTATTTGCAGAATCAGTTTTTGATAAAACCATTAAAGAGTGGAATAAGTTGTCTGAAATGCTGTAACCCCCCTGCTGTGATGCCTTCGGGCAATGTAGGGTAATCTTTGAACAAATAATAAAGAAGTAGTAGGCGTTGGAAAATTTCACAGCTGTGACAATTTTTCACTACATACTCAGATTCTACATTTTGTGGATGCCTCTACATTTGAGAATTGATATGCAGGCAAGTAGGAACTCACCTGAGCTTTTTAGGTGCAGATATGCTCACAAGGCTCCAGATTTGTAACTTCCTTAAGGACACCTCTTCACACATGGACTGAAAGAAGAAGCGTGTTTATATTACTAATGAGCAACAAATAAACACACACAAAAAGCATAAAATGGCACTTGTCAGGACTTGCCACTAGCACACGCTTCTGACCACATACACATCTGCTCTTGTAGGTGGCACATGCTGCCCAATATGCTTCTCACCATTGAGTAATAGTAATTAGAACAATGTAGGCAAGTACAGTGCGATTCTGCACTTTTCATTGCTGAATTTTCTTGGCTATTATGTTGCTTTTCATCGGTCTCAGCATAGCTCCCATAGAATCTGATGCATTGTGAACCTTGCTTTTATGTCACAACTGTGGGCGCATTCTTGAATGATGCACCGCAACCTAGCACGCCGAACTTGCCCGGCCACCGCCATTTTGAGTTTACTTTTGACAATCTTGGCCTAGCTTGGCTATGGCACAGGCGAGTTTAAAAGGCTGCCCCTAGATGACACATTTGCGACACATTTGTGAATGTGTGATGACACATTTGTGACACATTTGTGATCATTTGTGACACATTTGTATCACCATCACTGTGCTTACAGCAGAAGTTTCACTACGGTAAATGGTATATGCCAGTTTTAGCGTAATATCTTAGAAATGACTGCAAGTATTCCCATAAAAGTTTACGTTCTCACAAAAAATGCCACTGGGTATCAAGTGACACCCTTTTTTTATGCCTAGGTTGCTTATTCTTCTTATGGCTCACTCCCCAATTTTAAAGGAGGTTCATTTATTCAATGTACCTTTTCTCAGCAACTAACGAAAGGAATGTAACCATATTCAACCATGTTCTTGTAGAGTCGCATAGGTTACATTTAAACTAAAAAAACATTATTATTTTCATGAAGTTTCTGTAAAAAAAATAAAAATACTGCTTGCACAATCCCACCAAGGGTGTATATTGTAGTGCAATTTTTTTTCAGCTTCACTTTTTATGAAATCGGCAATATTTTTTAGTTCAGTTAGTTTCTTACTTGTTATAGCACATGCATACAAAATTTCATCAGAATCGATTCAATACGCTTTGAGAAAAGGTACATTGTAGTTGCAAAATTTACAGAAAACGCAACTTGAGAAAAACGAAGTTTAACGTGAGCATACTGCTTACGCCAGAGGGTGTGCGGCGCACTTCGGCGTGGCTTTTAAACCACTTGGAGCGGCAGCTCGACATTGGGCTTCCACAGGTTTGTTTCTCAAAGTACAGTGGATTTCTTGGTGTGAAAATTGCAAATTCGATTTTTCGTGGGGTTTACCTCACCATACTAACATTTCTAGAACAGGTAAGTTAAAAAACTTAGTTATGTTGCATGATGCCGCCGCCATCAGCCACAAATGTGGCACTGCTGTTGCATCAAGTTTCACTCACTCCTCCAGTCCTCCATTGGCGGTGCATGTTACGGTTAGTTGCCGCGCGTTGTTGGGCTATTTTGTGTTAGAGTTGGAGTTGCATTTTTCTCTTTGGCTATGTAGCTATTTTTGGGCTACATTGCTATGACTTGGCAAGAAACTTTAGCAGGTTACAGGCAGGCGATTGGGAGCCCGAAAGAACTGTTTGCACGTATGCGAGATATTCCCACACTTTCTATAGAGATCACATCGGAACATCGCCTGTATTCATTAACCAAAATTCAGACGCACATCTCCTAAATAGCGACAAGGCCAAAAACAGACTGCGAACAATTAGTGCAGTCCATCTGCACCACACTGTACATGTAATATCTGAAAACTTGTTTCACTGCAGCGCATGTATATAATAAATACAGTTTTTTTTTTCTGCAGCGGGATTAGATTTGTGGCATGTAGTGCCAACACGACGATATCACTAGAGAATTGCAAGTAACGACAGCCACCAGACTGAAAGCTGCTTACTTCAAAAAATGGAAGTGAAGAACTATGCCATGAAAATGCACCTCATTGTTAATTTTTTATAGTGCAATAAAGAGACTCGCCAATTATCGATCGTATTTCGTGAGCTGTCCACAAAGACATAGCTATACTGTCTTTGTCTTACCAGTGCTAGATATTATTCAAATTTTGCATTGCTGCGAGCTCGGCAAACACCCTTCTGAACAACTGCTCCAGCGTCTCGCCGCGCTGACTACGCGCTTTTGTCTGCTAGAAGAAGCTTGCTGCGCCGCCAGTGCCACCAAACTGGAAGCTGTCACGGCGCCGCGCAATGGGTCGGCAGACGCGGGGACTTTTGCAACTTAGCTGGTTCTGAAAACGTTGGTTTAAGCAAGCTTGCACTGCAAGAATCAACTTTCTAGCAGCATTTTATGCAAGAAGGCAATGGAAACAGCCTACAGACTGGACATCGCTGAATATGCAAGATTAAACGGTTGGTTTGACTGTTTCCACAAGAGGCATGGCGTCGCTTACAAGATGGTAAGTGGAAAAGCGGAAAGTGTGAACGTGGAAACAGTCGATGGTTCAAAATGCTGACAAAACAAGCTTCTTTTTTCATGTGCAGCCATCGAAATCATTAAGCCTGAAGGGCAAAGCATACCACAGAGGCAAATGCAGCAAAGACAGGCTGATGGGGCTCTTTTGAACATGGATGGCTTGGGCAAACTGAATCGGTGGGTGATCGTCAAGTATCAAAATCTACGGTGCTTGAAGAACATTTGCCTGCTGCCATGCCACTACAGAGGTAACCATGGTGCATGGATGACCTGTGCTTTGTTTGAAGAGTTTCCTTGATACTTGGATAGCAAGATGGGTTCACTGTGCAGGAGCTTTCTCCTTTTCCTGGAAAATTGTGCAGTTTACCCAAGAGATCTGTCATTTGTACGGAACGCCAAGCTCGTGTTGTTTCCTCTAAATACGACATGCTACTTGCAGCGGTTAAGTGCTGGTGTCATAAAAGCCTGAAGCGTTATGCTGAAAGTGTTGTATCATGCATATTGATCACGGACAGAAGCCTACGACAATTTCGGTACTCGACATCATGCACTGCGTTGCTTCAGAGTGTAGTGCAGTGAGCACATCAACTGCACAGTGCTGTTTCGCACACTTGAAGAAGGCCCTGGGATGATTATGCAGTAAAGTACACACAGCACCACACATACAATGAAAATATGTCAAAGCACCCAGTACCTGTGCGAAGCCAATGAAAAATAGCTGCTGTGCTGTCCACTCCATTCCTGGAAGCTTTTCTTTCCCATGCGAATCAGATTCAAATGCCTGCGTACACAAATGATGGATTTGAGAATGATGCCACTGCCATTTTCAGTACAAGCAATATAAGCAACAAAGTTACACACACACATGCAAACTTTGTTCCCAATCGTCACATTTACTCTTTACCCACACTCTGAAATGCCAGTGGAATTTCAAATGCCTGAAAAACAGTTGTTACCACACCTTACATATTCTAAGATGATAAACTACCTGTCAGCACAACACCTGTAATCTATGGAAGGCTACATCAGAGATTATTTTTCCTTGGTTGCTTCAGGTATGTAATAATTAACTCCAGTTTCTGGAATATCCAGAGTTCTGAGAGATTACATGAGTATGCTTTGTGCAGCATCAGATTACATCGCTTCTAAAGCTTAAGTGCATATCAAGTCAAGTCAAGTCAAGTTTATTAAATAGTTCAGTTGAGTTACATGGTTAGCGTTATTACAGCAGGAGGTCCCAAAGTTTCAGAGAAACTGACAGGGGGACCTCCTATGGCTACATGGATGGGGTAATTACAAAAAAATACAGCAATAGTATACGGTCTTGTGAGTAATAATGAATAATCTTGATTAACAATAAAAACACGATCAATACACAACATAATGGTAATACTCACTATTGAAAAATAACAAGGAAACAATCAAAAGCAAGTTAAGACAAAAAAACAATATTAATGAACTCTACGTGACAAATGTAACACGTTTCATTATCAGTGTTATCAATTATACAATGGCAAATTGAAGTAGTAAAAAAGCACAGAACTGTGGAAAGCTATTAACAGTTAATTACACAAATCGGATGAGTTGATTAATTCCCGAACGTAATATTTCTTACTACGCGAAGTGAAAATATGGATGTTATGCGATGATTTCAATTCGAAAGGCAATGAATTCCAAATGGCTATGCTAGTAAATAAGGTTGAGAACCTGCCGTAGTTTGTCCTTACGGCCGGCAAAAGAAGATTATAGCACTGAGAAAACCTGGTGATGTTACCATTAGTTAAGTGACGATGATCAATGCATGCAATAAAAATGTCATGCGTGATGAGTCTAAAGGCGACAACGGACATTCTATGACAAAATAATTGTCTCAATGGGAGTATGTTAAGCTGAGAAACAACGAGCTGCAGGAGAAGTAAAATGGGCTGAAAGTCATGGATATCCTCATAATCCATTAGCTAGCTAAAGAGAAATAAAATAAATAGTTAGTATATGCTAAAATACACTCACATAAGATATTTCTTTGTGCAAGGAAGCAATCGTTTTTGGCGTCACTTATCTCAGAAGGAAGACCACTCAAGACGCGTGCATTCTCTTGTTGTCAATGATGAATTGGTGACAGACTGCTCTTCCATCGCTTACCTACACAACAGATTTTTCCAGTCAGTGTTTACTGCTTGTCCTGATAATGGTGATGCATTCACGCAACTTCCTTCTCAGTTGTCAGTTATGCCTGACGTTCAGATCACTTATGAAGGCATTGTATCATTATTACTGAACATGAACATGAAAAAGTCGATCGGACCAGATGGCATACCAAATGATTTACTGCGAAGGTGTGCGGAATGGGTTGCGCACTATTCATACATAATATATAATGCCTCAATAGAGCAAAAGCGTGCATTTCCGATGGAGGCGGAAATGTTGTAGGCCGTGTGCTCAGATTTGGGTGCACGTTAAAGAACCTCAGGTGGTCAAAATTTCCGGAGCCCTCCACTACAGCGTCTCTCATAATCATATGGTGGTTTTGGGACGTTAAACCCCACATGTCAATCAATCAATCAGCAAAAGCGTGTCCCAAACGACTGGCTTGTGGCGAAGGTCGTGCCAACGCATAAGGGTGGAGACCAACAAAAGGTGAAAAATTACCGTCCGATTTCCCTCACCTGTGTATGCTGCAAGCTTTTAGAGCATATTATATCCAAAGCTATGTATACGTATCTTGAGGGCACAAAAACATTTTTTCCTAATCAGCATGGTTTTCGGCAGAATTTATGCACTGTAATCCAATTAATAGAAACAGTCGATGACTTCACGCGTGCCTTAAATAATAGTGTTCAGATCGACGCAATATGTCTCGACTTCTCCAAAGCCTTTGACAAGGTTCCCCACAGGGAGTTAATAAGTTAGCACACCTAGGCATAAATTATAACATAATACAGTGGATAAGTGCGTACCTGACAGGCAGAACACAATATGTAGAAATAAACGGTTTCAAATCTGAGTTATTAGGCGTTACCTCAGGTGTACCGCAAGGTTCAGTTTTAGGACTGATATTATTCTTAACTTACATAAATGACATTTCATGCGGCATAGATAGAAGTACTACAGTGCGACTTTTTGCAGACGACTGCCTAATTTATAAAGAAATACACAGTGAAGCTGACCAAAAAACATTTAACGATATTCTTGATGCTGTCAGTAATCGGTGCACTGAATGTAAAATGGAAATAAATCAAACTAAAACAGTTGCTTTGCGCGTCACAAACAAAAGTAAGCGGGTCTTCTATTCCAATTACACTCTATGTTCTACCTGCCTGCTTACCGTCAATGAAATAAAATATTTAGGTGTAACAATATCCAGTAATCTAAATTGGAAGACCCATTTGGAAAACATTTGTGCGGTGGCGGAGAGAAAACTATGGTACTTGCGAAGAAAGTTAAGACTTGCTACGACTCCTGTTAAGCTAGCAGCATATCTTACGTATATTCGGCCAACATTGGAATATGCCAGCATTGTGTGGGATCCCTCGGAAATCGGCCTCATTAATACGCTAGAAAGAGTACAAAGGCGAGCTGCCACGTTTATTCTTTCAAAGTACTCCTCGACTGAGTCAGTAACAGGAATGCTACGCTCTCTTCAACTGCCCACTTTAACTGAACGACGGCAATTGGCAAGAAATGAAGATCTTATTTTTATTGTCAAAAAATAAATTAAACATAAACACAACAAAATACTTAACGCCACGCCACGGAAGAAACCTAAGAAGTGTAAATGATTACACATACGAAGTGCCACAACAGCGTGTCAATGTATATGCGAATTAATTTTTTCTAAAAACAATTCGTCAGTGGAATGCTTTGCCATTACCACTGGTTCATTGTGATTCCCTGGAAAAATTTGAGGAAGGGCTCAAAGATATTTTTCTGTAAGCATGGTCTACTATGTTAATTTATTGCAATTCATTTGTATGCTTACTACGACAGCACTGTTCTTCCTTCAGCCTCAATGCCGGTGTTTCCAATGTATGTCATGTAACATTTCTAAGTTCAAGTGTTGCTGTTTAAATTGCTGTATGATTTGAATGTATTGATGTTTGTCATTCTTAGTATGTCCCACCCCTGTAACAGCCGAAAGGCTAACAGCATTTGGAAAATAAAATAAATAAAATAAATAAAATTCATAAGTGCAACCCGAGAAAATGGATGAAGAAAGGACATAGACAAGTGTGCACTCACACTTGTCACAGAGTGGCTGATTTTTTATATAGAATGTGATCATTTAGAATGTGACCATTCGCTTTGAAGCCCCTGTCATGTTTTCAAAAGCTCCTCAAAGGCTTTCATGCATTTGTGCTTGTCCGTCTTGCACACCAAGTGCTGAGTGGGTTCAGAAACAAAGAAGCTTTTCGAACGGTTCAGTATAAGATTCCCCTAAGTTGCAGCAAAGTATACATAGGCTAATCAGGCCATTGTATAAATCAGCGGTCAGCGACCTTTTGAGGCAGATGGTCGAACAGCATGAATCCAACATAACCGAGAACCGCACAGCAAAAAAAAAGGAGGGGGGGGGGGTGTTGTGGAGGGGGCTCTGCAAGCAAAGCAAAAATTTTGGCTGACTGATGCTATCGACACACAAAAGTGGAATAGAAATCATGCATATTTGCAGCACAGATGTCACAAAGTTGCAATTTATCAACTTAAAATAGAAGCAAAAGAAAACAACACTTTTCTGAAGAGACTTCGGTTCTGAACATTCATGACCATCTCATAACAATGTCTACATCAATGTTGCTCATGGACAGACTGAGAAAGTCGTGGAGGTGTTCATTGCTTTGTCGGGAGGTGTTCATCGGTTATGTAGAAGTTTTGATGAAGGCAAAAACGTTTTATGCCCGTGTACTTAGATTTAGGTGCCCGTTAAAAAACCTAGGTGGTTGGAAGGTCCGAAGCCCTCTACTACTGTATCTCTCATTTATCTCATGGTCTTGGGACATCAAACACAAGATATTTTTATCATTATTACTTAGGAGGAGTTGTTCTGACGTCGTGCCAGGGGCCGCATAATACAGTAGACTCCCAATAAACGAAACTTGGTTAAACGAAAATGCTTCATTAACGGAACTAAACAGGCTCATATGGCTGGATTTCTGTGTTGCGCAGTAAAATTCATCGGTTAATAGAAACAGTGCTGATTGGTTAACAACGGTTAAATGGCACAAAGTCTAAACACAGCATAGACTCGCTCAAGCCAAAGGTAGTCTTGCAACCATGGCAACACTTCGACATCGAGACAAGCCAATCCAGTAGCCATTCTTGCTTGTGGCTGTGGGAGCTAAGCCGGTGAGTCAATTGTGCGTTAAGCTTGTTGGTGCAGCTAAGTGTGGTGAATGAGGGTGTTATTACGGCCCGATGGAAAGGAAGCGGCAGCAACATGCACTCTCGTTTGAAAAAAAGCTGCAAATACTTCAGGAGCTCGATCGAAGCGGCCTGCCAAAGACAAAGGTGGCAAAAAAATACATCCTGACATCGACGCCGTCGCGAATCTGGAAAGGCAGAGAAAAGATTGAGGGCACTGTTAAAAACGAGACCTTTAGAGCTGAACAGATGCGGACAACGCCTTATGAACAACTAGAAAAAGTTTATTTTCTGTGGTTCAAGTGTGCACGGAGTTTTAATTTGCCCATAAGCGGACCAATTCTCGAGCAGCAAGCTCGAGAGATCGCCATGCAAATAAATGTTAAGAACTTTCTCTTAATCAATGGATGGCTCAGCCACTTC